GAATAAAGGAGCAAACCAAAGGATGGCAAACAATAACGTCACCACGTGAATGGAGAAAAGCGCATTGCTCACCTTTGATTTTCTACAGAAATGAATAATGGAATGCACAGAAGCCAAACACCCATCGTGATGGGGCAGAAACGCCAAGCGCGCGTCTCAACTGAGACAAAGCCTGTCGCAGCAAAAAGACGCCTGCTACTCGTGAGAAAACTTTAAAGAAACACACGGGCTGAATTCAAAAGACGCTTTCAACGTATCTGATGATGTGGCAGGGTGTGTGATCAGATGTGGTAGAAAATTCCGTGCCATGTGCTCAAGAGCTTCGCTCAGTCATCCACTTTCACAAAGTAGAATCATTTTGAAGTTTTTTCAGCGACACTTACGCATTTTTAAAGAAACACAGACCACGTGAACCACAACAGGAACAGCAAATTAAAAAAGTTAGCTACGCAAACCACCGATTCATTATATACAGATGTGTTTCGCGCAACTACAGAACCAAATATGACACAAAACATACGTGGTTAACCGAAACTGAATGAATCGAAGGACCTTTGGTTTGCCATCATGTGGCGATTGTGAGGGCGTATTTTATGTTGCGCTTGATTGGTCGATCAAACAAGCTCAATTATAGAAAGGTTATATTATTCTGCAAGGGCGCTCTCTTTAGTTGTAAAGGGCATTCGAAAACGACACATTGAAATTCTGTGGGTGAGGGGGGGGGAGAAGGATCAGGCTTTTTTGGTGATATTTCTCGGCGGTTAAAGAAAGTCCGCGCGAGACTGCATCTTTCGAGAAGGAACTGCGAAAAAGAAAGACATTGCGGGCGCTGGCCCGCGCAATGTCTTGATAGAGATTTATAGACGGCCCGTATACGTAGTGAGTGAGCTGTCAGCACTTAATTTCCGTTGTAACGAAAGACACAATAAAAAACCTTTGCTCTCTGGAGTAGCCGCATTCACTTAAACCACTGTTTCATCGTATGCGAGATCTAATCGTTAGGAGAGAGCTGCTATTGCCTTAATTTATTCAGACCTGTTCCATGTATGTAAATAATAGTAGGCGCCATCGCTCCCGCTCCCCGACGCACTCTGCTCGGAGGCAGCTTCTGTCTGGGCAGAGCCTAGATGCCGCGACTAGACTAGACTTGGTTATGTTAACTATGTCGTTTTAGCGTTCGATAAGCGGGCAATGTGTCTTCTTCGACGACAATTTTCTTGACGCGAGCACACGCGTCTTCTCGGCGTTTTGCAATGGTCATTCGGTGAAAATATCACCCACGTTGCAAGGGAAGCGTTCCTGCCGCGCAGCAGGGAGCTAGAATACCTAATTGTGGCGCGAGCAGCTTCCTGGGTGCGTACCTTTCAGCTTGGAAGGATGCTGGGGAGCTGGCGTCGACCACTTAAGTAAGTACTGCCAGCAGCACTGCAATCTGAAGCGGCGCGATGTTATACGGCATGCAGTTTCTTACGAGGAACTCGCTGGCCGCTACTTTGGAGAAAAACAAGGAAAAAAATGAACATACACTCACAAAGAAGAACAAAACAAACATTGGTTCGTCCAGCGTACAACGAGGACGCCAGAAACATGTACACGGGGCGCGTTGCTTTAGGGGCAGTTGTTCAGCTGTTCGTAACGAAAGAGCAACCACACGGCTGCGCTCGTTAAGGGCTTGAAGTGTATCGGAAACAGCTTGGCTGATCACTTCTCTGCTATAGGAAAATGGAGCTATTATAGAAACGCTTCTCGCTTGAAAGCACGCTCGGAGAAGCCTCGTGTGTGCATCTGTTGTCATTGCCGTGCACGCGTCACACATATTTCCTTACATACAGCCCTTTTCCTACGTTACTTGTGCTGGATGCAAATGTCGTGCCCGCTATATATAGCATCCTGTCATTGCAGCAGTTGCGTGCAGGCAACTGATTCTACACATTTAGCGCGAAAAACAGTATTCCCTCCACCACACGTTCTCATTGTTTCAAATTTGCAGTTTCAAGAGTTAAAAAGCTGTGTCTAATGGAAGTCGTCTAAGTGATAGGTTTGTTCCTAATCACCTGCTCGTCTTACAATGCTGTATTGAGTTCACTATCGCGCAATTGTGTCTGCGTCGCCTTCCCTAGAAAGTTGCCATGCCATGTCGCGGCACTGGCACGGCGCCTTTATAACGTTTGTCATTGTCCGCAACGACCATACAGAGAGCGTATTTCGCGAGCGCGCTTTTAACATTTTCGCAAAGTCGGAATTTTCCTGATGATTACAACGCTCCATGTCGGCTTTAAATGTCCTAAAGAGAGTTTTCACTCCGAAATCACGATTCAATTCAGCAAAACCTCCAGAAAAGGTGCTGTCTTTACGCATGCGTTTTGTCCCACGGCGGTACATCTTGTTGTGTTTACATTTTGAGAGCGTGGGTGTAAAGATATCTGGGTTCAACTCTCGGCGTCTGCACGTGAGGCTGTAGGTTCAGAACCTAGCATCGCCAAGAACATTTAGTTTGTTTTGCGAGTTCATTTATTTGTAGAGATTCGTCTAACGTGAGAAAACAACTGGCGGACACAAAAGTTCATCGTCGAGTCAGCGTATGAATGCTTCCGCGCTTAAAATTTCATCTCACACCACGATGAATCAAATAGCATTCGTTGCGCCGAATGTCGTCTGAATTTGACGACACTAGGATGTTCACTGCGACAGGAATATAAATCATATTCACCCATCATCCATGAAATGGCCTACGAGTTCCCGTGCCTATGACTCGTCGTTGTCTTCGTTAATGTTTGATGTTTTCAATAGAATCGTAGAACTACGCTGCGATCTTTTGAAGATTTATTCTCCAACGGAGTGAAGTCTACTTCTCTTAATGCCCTAGAGAAGGACACGGGCCCATTTTTCTTTGTTTCTTTTTTTCTGAATCGTAGGATCCAAGAAGAGCATAGGTTGTGTTACTTATAGCTTTGAATAGAATTGAATTAAAGTGAGGTAAATAAAACATATGGAAAACAACTCCGCCAGTGGGGTGTTACGATTGCGATGCTCTAACAACTCAGCTACGGTGGCTGTCGTTCCCTTCTACATTCGTCGGGTCTTTCTTCTTTATGTAACCCTCGGGCTGTTAGCCAGCGCTAATCGTGGCCATAGAGTCAATGTGGAACAAAATCTCTTTTTGTTGGGAATTACTACTGAAATCTTATCTCTGCTATATTTGTAATTAGTAAACTATTGTACACTTGACAAGATAAAGGAAGTATTTAGTAAATTACCCCATGGCATGCATAGAGAATGCATAGAAAAAGATTAGTAACTTCATTTATAAGATCTTTGAGCCAGGGGTCAAGATCTCGATGGGTGAAGCCCCAAGGCCAGGGCTCCACTGGACACTACTGCCTGGCTGACATGGTACAAAAGTGCTAGCTGCACCTCTGCATCAGAGCTTATGAGATTTACCCCTCATAGCTCCAAATTCTGGGATAGAATAAACCTATTTGTAAAGGTACTTCAATGTGGTGGTTTGTTGAGGCATCCCCATGAATGTTATAAAACAATGATGAGCAGTCAGGCCAACGACAGGCGCGCCTTTACAGGGTTAAAAAAGTGTATTTAATATTGGTCAGTAGAAAAATATCCCCGTTTCAACCCTACGCAGGTTTATGGTGTCTTGCTCTACGAATAGTTTGTGGTGGACGCTGTAGATTTGTCGTGTGCCTCGCTTGTGAGCAAGAATATAGTTTCCATTGTTAGTCATACAACCAGATACCAAGTTTACCAGTAGAAACACCACATCTAATAACAGTATCCCATCTTTTTGTAGCATTTTAGAGCGTAAAGCTACCCTTCACCGAATAATAATAATTTACTTGAGCTAAAGAAATTTTCAACGATGAACAGCAGTGACAATTCACGAGGCACCGCCAAAGTACATTGACCAAAACGCTCTCTATTAGAGGGATAAGAAATGACCACCAATGTCATAATTTTCATCCCGTTAGACAAATAATCACGACGTCGTTGGGCAGCTTCATTCGATGCAGCACATATCATTCCTCGTACACAAATGAAACCCTAGAAGTCGTCGGAACTTCAACTCTCTGAGTGGATACGAGATGACCCTGTCAGTGAAATATCTCCGTGAATACCACCTGCTTCTACTTGAAGAGTCCGGCTCAAGCATTTTTTTAAGTGGAAACTTTATGGGAGAATTCCACAGAACGTTTTCTCATCAGCTAAAGAAGTACAATCGGATATAGAAGACCACGTTTTTACGAAGAGTGTGTGAATGCTTAGCCACCTAAACGCCGCCTTGATACCTGTGGCGTGCAGACAGCCGCCTCCCTGAGCCACGACTGAAGTAGCGATGTCTCTTTTCCTGAGGTGCCGCTTCCCATGGCAAAATGCGGCCTTTATTAGGATTACGTCGTCTGCGCCATGAGAAGTTTCCCTTTGACGCACCAAAGGGGCTGAGGCCACGTGTACTTGGCGATGAACATGGTCAGATGCAATAGAATTGGGGTTACAAGCATTATTCAGGTCCAGCAGGGCTCAAACATCGCTATAAAAATTTGATTGTGAATATTTTATATTGTGCTTTCTAAAAAGTTGGTATGCCATAAATGGTCATGAGTGTCTGTTAAGTGGCCATTTTATTATCACTTTAACTGGGGCAAAATATTTCCTCCTAGACATCTAGTTTGAGTGCGAAGACGACCGGGCCTGGCTGCACATCAGCGTTTTACAAAAAAGTTTATATTGCACATCTGAAAACCCAGCCATGTATACATTAAAGTACACGGAGATTTTTGCATTTCAACTGCGCCTAAATGGGCCGCTTGCGACTAGAATCGAACCCATACCGCGAATGCTACGCTGCTTTATTCCCCGGGAAAAGCGAGAAATTTTTTCTCATGAAACCTTATAGCGCTATTTTCGAGAATATGAACTCTGTGATGTTGCAAGCTATGCGTCTATTACTGTCAGGACATGGCTAACTCGGCGTTTTTTGTACGCAGTTTGGTGCCAGCGCAAAGACCAGAACGTGTGCCGGAAAGACAACGGGCTGTTCGAACACGAGCAGTATTGTGACTACTACTACGAGTGCGAAGATGGAGTGCCCACTCTGCAGCTGTGTCCCAACGGCTTGGCCTTCTCAGGCAAGAACCGGGGCCTGCTCAACAACTGCGACTACCCACACCGAGTGGGCTGCCCCGACGACGACGGACGCGTGATGGGCCAGAGCCCACAGAGCAGCGAGAACTGCCACTGGCAGTACGGCGTGTTTGCCCACCAGACCAGCTGTACTCGGTACTGGCAGTGCTGGAACGGAACGGCCACCATTCAGCAGTGCCCCTTCTCTTTGCTTTACAACGACGTAATGCACGCTTGCGACTGGCCGGACAACGTGCCTGATTGCCAGAAGCACCCAATCTGCAAAGACAGCCCCAATGGTCACATCCCCATTGAGAAGAGTTGCGTCCGCTACTGGCTCTGCGTGGGTGGCTATCCGCGCCTGCAGCGCTGCCCAGCGGGGCTTGCCTTCAACCCGACCGGGCTGCGCTGTGAACTAGCTGACAACATCCCCGGATGGTGAGTCTTTGTCTGCTTGTGGTGATCAGTACTAACGTAATTGCACGCAGTGAACTTCCACCGACCACGCCACCACCTGAGGAGGCTGAGGAGCGACCTCAGCAGCAGCAGAGGCCTCGACAACCGCAGCAAGCCGCCCCCAGACCACAACAGCAGGTACTCTCCGTCGTGGAAATACCATTGAGCTAGTTCAAACACTCATGTGGTGAACGAGAACATAGGACCACACTTACAAGACTAAACAGCAAGAGATAACAAACCAGTAAAAGTTCTGTCTTTCTTAAAGAGAAGAAACTGTAGTCAATGGTTCAAATATTGTTCTCGGAGGTCGTATTTCATGGTTTTAATGGCCACTGCTACGTCATGAGCCCGCTTAGTAAGCTTACTAGGTCCCGAAATTCACAGCTGCGCAAAACGGCCTTCCACAGCATTTAGTTCGCGGATATTTATATGGTACCGTGCCTTTGGGTGTTTGAATATTAGATGAAATGCTACAGCATCTCGAATAGCCGAATTTATACGTGACTCCACCCGGCCGGTAACTTCTCGGGCCAAGGCTTGCGTGCGATCATTTCCTTGCAGTGAGTCGTGACAAGGTGTTCAGATCAGCGTCATCTTTTGTAGTGAGGGGTAATTGGGTCATGATTTAAGTTTGTAGAGAGTGGCAGTAGCAGCAAGAGGTACGTGACGGCAGCTACTATGACCGTGTCATCTTTACGACTTCATTCGACGCGAAATCTGAAACGCAGCTGCCCTGAACATGCTTCGAGCCACGCCGCACGATTGACCTATGCCAGATGCGGTACAATGGTGGTCCATGATGACAATTAAGGCCGCTATTACGATGCAAATTCCCATCACCAACCGGCCACGCTCATGTCTATGACAGGGGGGAGGGGCAGCCAAAAATTTTTTTGGAGGGGGCTCGCATGTTACATATAGCGGCCGAGTGTCTCTTGTGGATCCAGTGATTAATAAAAATTGGCTTGAGCGGATGAACAAACGAAGACATTCATGAGTTATTACGTTTCGCCCGGGCCTCGACCGTCGTCAGGAATAGCCGGACCCTGACCAAGGCCCGACCATGGACGTAACGTAGCAATGAGGGTTCTAGGAGTGAAGCTCCTTAAGGTCTAGGTAGGACAGTCGATCCCTCCGGTGTTCTCAGCAGAGCAGAAGGACAGATGAACGCTTCGTCCCCCTCATGATCATTCACACCGTGGATATGCTGTGATGATTTTTTGTACGTTCGTCCAGTCAAGCCTGCACACACACACACGCACACACACACACCACATATATATATATATATATGTATGTATATATATATATATATATATATATATATATATATATATATATGGTGTGTTCACCTATATATTGCTGCTCACGGCAAGTTATTTTTTCACCAAATTTTCTTTCTTCTTATTGACATTGCGTTGGTTCTAATAACGTCTCCTATACAATCCTTGGCAATATTGTCCGTTAGATCTCATTAATATTGTGTCAAAACACGAAAAAAGGAGTCCTTAGGTATACCAGGACTCGTTTACCAGGACGGTATACCAGGACTCTTTCTTGTATATATATATATATATATATATATATATATATATATATATATATATATATATATATATATATATATATATATATGACGTAAGAAGGCAGGGATGGTTAGAAGAAGTAGAAAAGGAAGAAGTGCAGAACGGAATAAACACGGGGTATGAGCCAAGCCACGTCTCCCATCATCATAGCGTCACACGAGTCGACAGGATGAAGACCTGGCGGCCACTTCATCAACCAGCCACCATCTCCGAACGTCTCAGCAAGACGCAGTGACCGAACGTGGACCATGAAAGTACATCCCAACACTACACCAAGACCATCATTATGACAGCACCATCAGATGACCTTCCCATCCCCCAGTACACCGGAGCAGCGGACGATGGACCTGTACAGGACTGGTTCGACCTGTTCGAGCACCACGCAACCGCTGCATCATGGTCGGAACAGAAAATGATCACCAACTTCACTGACTACATCTCCGATGAGGCATTCAAGTTTTACCTGACACACATATTCGAAAACGACGAATCATGACAAAAGATCAGGGAAGAGATGATTGCCCGTTTTAACGACTACGGCAAGGACTTTCTCATTACCGACTACCTGCATACAACCACACTCGGCCGTCACAGTCCACGCTTATTTCTCAAGAAACGTGGCATTCCACCAGGTTTCTCTTCACGAAAGTCGGTATTTTCAAAGTCGTGGCACCAACATACGACACGAGACGTCGCTCACCCTTCTGATGCCTTTCATGTTTCGTCTAGCGTACATGGTCCACCGTCTTGTTTGCTGCGACGCAGCTCTTCAAAGGCTCCTAACGGTCACTATTCGTATTATAAAGACGCCTTGTTCATGGTAGACCAGCTGACACATCGGGAAAATACCAAACAACGCCAAGATGACTCGAAGAGTGAAAATCAGTTTTCACGCATTGGAGCAGCTTACTCCCCATCTCGCAGACTTGGCGTGCCTTCTGGTTTTCCATCGCTTGGCTCTTTCGTAACTCACAATGTCCATCTCACATCTAGCACGCTCACAATGGTCGGGATAGAGCTGCGGAGCTCGGACGATGCTACGCTAAGCCCTGGACTTACCACCCAGATTCATGCGCCAGAACAGCTCGCATCGTTATTTGCACAGAAAGAGGGCCATTCACAACTCAAACCTTACCGAACTACCCCTGTTGCGGTGTTGCCGTCCAGTGCGCAGCCACAAGAAACTCGAAACACAGAAGGCTCAGACGCATCGAACGTCGCATGCTACCAGGCGCAAGAACCACTCATAGTGAGCTGCGAAGAAGCCCCTGATGAACTATCTGTCAGCTCTGAATGTTTTTTGTCGCAAGAGTTCATTTTCACGGCACTGCAGACATGCCAAAATTTGCATTTTCAACCTGGTGATGCGACGTCACATGTGGTACCCTCATGCATTGGTCACCAATCCAAGAATCGAGCCAATTCAGAAGCAAATCATACATCAAACGTCGTACACAGTTTCAGAAACGTCCGTAATCAACCACGTCACAGAAGCCTCTGAAGAGCAGGCTAGCAATGATGGTGCACCACCAACCATGCCCGATAAGCAAGAAACCTGTTCACCATGCATCAGCTGTCTACAGGACGCGTCAAACCTCAAAGTAAATGAATGTCCTATTCCGGAAGGCTTGCCACTACAGCCATCTCTTGAAGAGCTCCAGGAAAGCAAGCAAAGCCAAGTTCATAAACTCATGCTACAACGAGAGAGACTGCAACGAGGGCATCGACGAACGCAAAATTCAACGGAAGCGCACTCACCAATAAAATAACATCGGAAAATAAGATCTCTAAACCCAAGGCCAATTCAAGATGTCAGGCACTTTCGCACAAAGAAAAGTCACCAGAAACACTCCCTGCACCTGCTATTACACCGACTGCACCACCACAAAAAGCAGCGAGAAAGACGCAAAAGCACTGCTTGGACACCGCAAACACTCAGGCACTTCGTCAAAGTCTGTCAAAAAGCACGAATGCAAGAAGCACCGGGATTGCACCATTCACGACGAAAAATACAACCTCGACGACATCCGAGCTGCCGATGCAACAATGCGTTCCAACCTTGCTCAGTCCCCAGAACAGTTCAAGCAGTATTGTCAGTGTTCATGTGTAGCCCACTCTGTCCGGAACGCAACAGTCAAGCTCGTCCACCAGAGCCGTCATAAAAATCGCCGGACAGCTCCCTCGGTCTTGAAGATTTAGTGAGATTGTGAAACTCTGTCGGGACGTGAAACTGTGAATTTGGCCATTATTTTGTTTATTCTCTGCAATTTGTTGTAGCTTGTAACCGGTGCCATCTTTCGGGGGGAGGGTGAATCCTGTGACGTAAGAAGGCAGGGATGGTTAGGAGAAGTAGAGAAGGAAGAAGTGCAGAACGGAATAAACACGATGGGTATGAGCTAGGCCACGTCTCCAGTTCATCGTAGCGTCATATATATATATAAATATATATATATACATATATAGAGAGAGAGAGAGAAAGAGAGAGAGAGAAGTGTATACTCAAGGGTTCGCTATGATGACATCTGACAGGCAATATTACCAAGGACAGTATAGGGGAATTTACAACACCGAATTTTAGTGTAAACGAGAAGAAAGAAAACTGGGAGAAAAGATAACTTGTCATGTGCAGGAACCGAACCTGCGACCTTCGAATAGCGCGTTCAATGCTCGACCAACTGAGCTACCTTTGCGGCTATCCTCCAACCCACTTTATCGGGTAAACATGTGAATTAAACATGGTATTGTGAGGCAGCGCCACCAGTAGCCATGGCGGCGAGTGTGGCACACTCTTTTGTGATTCTGTTTAGGCTTCAAGTAACCCGTGAACTTATTACGAGCTGGCAGCTGACTAATAGTCCCTTGTATACAACTTAAACGCACCTAAGTGAAAGACAGAGAGAGGGGGGAAGAGAGAAGATGCGTTTCAGCTTCTTGAAATTTTGAAATATTTTTATTGTTTAATGTTGACGTGCGTAAAGCGCAAAGTCTGTGTTCAAAAACTGTAAACCGATGAAATGAATAGCTATGTTCATTTAGACTTCCCATCGTTCGAAGCACCTCTCCAGTGAAATGCCTTGCCATTGCGAGGAAAGTGATTTAGAGTCTTTTACATGGAGTAGCTCAACGGAACTAACGCATGCATTACATGCGTCAGGAAACGAAGTACAGTCTTTAAAACTCATTCGAAAGAATTGAAGTTTTTCAGGCAACATTCTGATACCATACCGAAACTTTACATTTCACGCTTTCTTGTCAGGAAGCATTAAATTCGAGTTTCCTGACAAGAAAGCTCTTGTGCTTTTTTCCAGCGCTCTAAGAAAAAAAGATAAAAAGTCTTTTGACTCCTTTATCGTATTTCTTACACGACCCGTATATGACTATTTTAAAAACTGCACCTAAAACCGCACGTGAAAACCACAACAGGAAGGGAATAATTGAATTTATTTATTTTTAGATTCGTGAATACACACATACAGGACGATTTTCTGTATGTGTGATGTGTGACAGGATTATTTCTTTTTTTTCATGTGTATGTGAGTATCTACATAT